CATTCTGTTTTTGCTTCAAATTTCGAAATTATACAATCTAATTTAGATTAAAAACTGCTCATGTTGCATGTATGCTGCATCTTTATTTGGATGATGATTAAAATGCAGTGGTTGCCTTAGTTTGTTTATATGAAGAACTTTCTTTTATTTGTGTAACTTGCTTATTTGATTTGCGGTTTGTTTTAAAATCTCAATTTAGTTTTGTTATATTTCAACTTCACTCAAAAAAAACAAACATGCAGCAATATCCTAATAAAAGACGTACCTTTTCATTTACTGTATAATGTATTCAATCTCATTTTGTTAAAAAAATCGTGAGAAAATTGAATCGTGAAATCAAAATCGTGAATCGAATCACACTGAAAATATAGAAGACAGAATCAAAAATGTGTAAAAAAGTCCATCTCCATGTTTGTTTATAGTTTTTCTTTTATCATATTGTTTTTGTCATATTGCAAAATTATCATATTATTCTTTTTATATTATCTATTTCGTTATATTGCCATATTATAGTATTTTAATATCATTATCATATTGAAATTTTATATTTTTATTAGGGTTGTCAGTCAATTAAAATATTTTAATCTAATTAATTACATGATGTGTTGATTAATTAATCTAATTAATTAATCTAGTTAATCACAAATGACATTTGGCTGTGAAAATACCCCCAAAAGATTATTTAAAGCTATTTTTGTGTTAAATGAGAAAGTATTAAGTAGTGATTCAACATAAAATTTATTAAACAAACGTTTAGGCTATAATGGCCTAACATAAACTATAGAACATAAAAGATGGTAATTTGAGAAACATCTCAGTTTTTTTTTCGTTCATGCAATGGCAGTCATTGGTAACCAAAACAGTTTTGTCTTCAAAATACCTTCTTTTATGTTCCACAAAAGAAAGTAAGTCATTCAGGTTTGAGTAAATGTTGACACAATTTTTTTGGGTGAACTATGTCTTTAAATGTTTTTTTTCCCAATCTTTTAATGAAATAATACTCTAAATAAGAAAATAAAACTGCCAGCAGGTGGCGGTAAATATTTTTGAGTCTTTCATTCATTCGATTAATTCAAACCGAGGATTCATTCAGAAAATAAACACTGCTGTGCTGCTCACAGACGCGCAACAATTCTGCAGTGGCTATATAGGTAATATTTTTGTTGGCAAAACTGAGCAAAAACAGACAATATTGTGTTTAAAATATAAAACAATATAAACTTCTTATTTATTGAACTGTTTTTGCTCCAATATCTTGAATTTTAGGGCATAGCTGCATTTATGGAGTTGTTAGCCTGCATCATATTTGTCAACAGTCAGCTGTATGAAATGTAAGATGATGTACAGGTCTGGGGTTAACTGCGTTAAAATAGTTTAATCGCGTAATTTTTTCATAACTAATTAAGTTAACACGTTAAACTGACAGCCCTAATTTTTCTATTATTTATATATTTTTTATCATACTGCAATATTATCATTAATATATTTTTTATTACCATCATATTTAAATATGAGTTATTTCTTTTTTTAGCATATTGTTATTTTTAGAATGTTACAATATCATGCTATTATTATCATTACATTGAAATATTCTATTTCTTTTTATATTATTATTAGCATTTTTATTTTTTATTATAATCATTTTGTATTATTTCATATTATTTTGATCATATTGCAATATTATATATTTTTTCATATTTATTTTCATATTTATATTATTTTCATATACATATATTTATTTTCACATTTTCGTATTATTGCCATTATTATCTTATTATATTGCAATATTATTTAATAATTTTCTATTATTTATTATTTTTATACCATATTTTCAGTATGGAGTTGAAGTGATGAGAGATGAGCAGCTCATGTTAGAACAGTCCTGAGATTTTATTTTCATAGCGGCACAATATAAATGAGAGTTTGTAAAGATACAGAAGCACTGCAGGATTGTTTTACTTTCTGTCTGAATATCATTAGACACCAAATATCACAGTAAGTGTCATGTACTGTTAGAATGTTAACATGATCTGATGTGCTGATGTTCTGACCGGTGTGTGTGTGTGTGTGTGTGTCAGGTAAGCAGGGTCTCTACGCCGGTCTGGTGGTCAGTGCTGGAGAGCCGAGCTGGTGCTCTCAGTGTCAGAAGGACTTCCCCTGCCGCTGGCGCCGAGACGAGGGCGGAGCCGTCATGTGTGAGCAGTGCATGTCGTCCAATCAGAAGAAGCTGCTGAAGGCCGAACACACCAATCGGCTGAAGGTGGCATTCGTCAAGGCGCTTCAGCAGGAACGGGAGATCGATCAGCGCGTGCTGCAGCAGGCCACGCCCCCTGCCTCTTCATCCTCCTCCTCCTCTGCTCACGGGATGATGGCTGATCAGGTCAAAGCGCGCTCCTCATCTTCTGCTCAGACCGTGAGCCACTCCGCTGCAGCCGTCAAACAGGTGAGGCGTCGCAGCTGTGCATCTGTCAGTCTGAGGTCAAAGTGTTCCCGGTTCCGGTTGTCCTAATTAATGCAGCCTAACAATCCTTTAACGTATTTGAATATTAGAAACGTATAAAGCTGCATTCACACTAGCAGCGACTTTTGTTGCTGCATGTCGCAATATAATCTAAATCTAAATTAAATCCGTACATACAAACAAAAATGAATGCGAAACAGAGCCTACTTTCTTCCATTGCGTATGTTTATCTACGGCGCAAGAGGAGAAGGATCACATGAGCTCTACCGTCTTCTTTCCTATTGGCTGTCGCTCCCGAAAGTCGCTCTTCATTTGCATAAAGTTGAAGGATTCTGAACTTTGTCGCGTCGCTGGACACACCCCATCCGTCGCCAACGGCTGCTGACGCTCGTGTCGCCGGAAATCGGCAGCTTTCCATTGAAATGAATGGGATCGTGTTGCTTTGTCGTTGCATGTCGCTTTGTAGTGTGAACGCGGCTTTAGTGTGTTATTAAGCGTGCAGAACAACCACCCAATAAAGCATTACAATAATCTAACCTTGAGGTCATAAACGCATGGATTAACATTTCTGCATTTGCTATCTGACGTCGGTCTGAGGTCGAGGTCAGTCCAAGGCCGGTCTGAGATTGGTCTGAGGTCAGTCTGAGACCGAGGTCAGTCTGAGACCAAGGTCAGTCTGAGACTGAGGTTGGTCTGAGGTCGGTCTGAGGTCAGTCTGAGACTGAGGTCAGTCTGAGACCGAGGTCGGTCTGAGGTCAGTCTGAGACCGAGGTCGGTCTGAGGTCAGTCTGAGACTGAGGTCAGTGTGAGACCAAGGTCAGTCTAAGGTTAGTCTGAGACTGAGGTTGGTCTGAGGTCAGTCTGAGACTGAGGTCAGTCTAAGGTCAGTCTGAGACTGAGGTCGGTCTGAGGTTAGTCTGAGACTGAGGTCGGTCTGAGGTCAGTCTGAGACCAAGGTCCGTCTGAGACTGAGGTCGGTCTGAGGTTAGTCTGAGACCAAGGTCAGTCTGAGGTCAGTCTGAGACAGAGATCGGTCTGAGGTCAGTCTGAGACTGAGGTCGGTCTGAGGTCAGTCTAAGGTCAGTCTGAGACTGAGGTCCAGTGTGAAGCACTTGAACACAAATGACTCAGTGATTTAAACTAGTTTAAAGCCAAACTGGAGAAACACTGTGTGCAACGAGACAGTCAGAAGGCTTTTCAATCTACACATCGCCATCATTTACCATGGATTTACTGTAGTAACACTCACTGCACCATGGTATTGTGGAAGAAACTTGGGATATACACACTGAATTTTAATACAGGAGTAATGGTAATTTAGAGTATGTATTTGTGATTAAGCTATAGCATGTGTGCATTTATACTGAATGTTTTTAGATTACTGTTTTTCATACAAATTGCCTACCTAAAAAACATATACAGTAGTTATATTTTTACCATGGTATTGAGGTGCTATATGTGTGGTTTTTACTGTGTTTATCATGATTTAAATGTATGTTACTATGGGAGACTAATGCTTAATAAAAAATAAAAAAAACCTTGGTCATGTTAAATTTAACCGTATAAAACTGAAGTTGCTACAATTTTTACAGATGTTGCTGATTTTGATAATGAACAAAATGTACCTCTTCATCCTAACTCAAGCTACTATCAAATGTGCATTTCTAAGAGAGTTGAAAGAAATAAAGATTGGACATTTATCGTGATAATTATCGATATCGACTGATATGAAAACAATTTATCGTGATCATTTTTTTGGCCATATCGCCCAGCCCTAGTCTGAGGTCAGTCTGACACTGAGGTCGATCTGAGGTCAGTCTGAGACTGAGGTCGGTCTGAGGTCAGTCTGAGACTGAGGTCGGTCTGAGGTTAGTCTGAGGTCAGTCTGACACTTAGGTCGGTCTGAGGTCAGTCTGAGACTGAGGTC